GATCCACAGCGGCTGTAAAATAAACAATAAGAGCATGGATTTTTACAGTTTCAACTTGCCTGCAAAATGATTCTTTACTAGCTGCACTGTATTCAGTCTTTCCAGGGTGGTGGAGTCTATGTCACAGAGAGGCAAGAGGAACTACTCTTTCAAAATGAAGACTGACAATTCTTTCGCCGTGTGCCTGTGTTGATTTGGTTCTCTGGGGTATGTGGTCTCTGATTTTCATTGAATTACTCCAGACAACATACCAACTCCAGTACTCTGGTTCATTCGGTTCAAAAATACTCCAAACTGATGATTTCCAGACATCTGTTCTTTTGTATCCACCTCTGCTGTGGACCTAGATAGGTATTACACTGTTCTTATGGGGAAGAATGAAGTGCTGTGATTTTTCCAGTCATCCTGGGACCATAGTCTGTGCCTCTAGGACAGTTTTCATCAGATATATTGAATAGTTTAAAAATATACATACAAAACTACAAACAGAACTGTTGCAATGGGAGAAACACCTATCAACAGTTTATTTTTGTTGTTTTAAAGTTGGATTTGTTCTGTACCTTGCAAAACACACCCTCAATTCTTAACTTTTGCTTTATTTTTGTGCTGTTAATGTGCAGAGCATTATGCCACTGAAGTATACTTTTACCTCAAATATTCAATGACACAAAAGTTTTAATCCTGATAAAACCTGATAAAATTTCAACACCCTTTCCAGACAACTCCAAGAAAATAAATCATAATTGAAAATATTTTCATCTGTGAAGAAAAATGGATACAAAATACCCATTTTCTATGGAAAAAATCACATTAATTATTTTGAGCCAAAGTCTTCCTCAAATACTGAGGTGTCCAGACTGAGCTCAAATGTGCCATCCTCTTGCCTCAGCTTCTCAAAGTGCTGACATTATAGACCAGGGTCGCCAGCCCCAGATTGCTTGTTTTCTCTTTTTAAAAATTTTTTGTCATGCAGTACCTACCTATATTAGCTTCTTGCTCTTCTGAACCAAGATTCTGTTTTTAAAATTTTATTTAAAGAGAAAAAACAAAATAGAAGAAGTGTAGAAATAATACATAATTTAAAAAAACAGTGAGAAATCACTAGTTGTTAAATTACATTTTGTCCTCTAAGAAATCGTTGTTCAAGTTACAAAATTAAAGCATACAAAGTGGACGTTCAAACAGTGAGAATGCGAACAGTTCTGTTGAGTGATCCAACAAAACTTAGCAATATGGTTATCAATTTCACACACTTAAACATACATGCAATTATACCCTGCTCCAAGATTCTAAAGAGAACATAAATCTATTTGGATGTAAGAGACTTTGATTTGCCTCATGAGTGCTCTGACAGACTGAAAGCTGTTTGAAAACTGATACATTGTCTTGGGTATTTTTCATCCATCACAGTAAGGAATAGTTTTTTATATATAATAACAATTTAATAGTTTTTATTTGAAAAAAAAAATGGATCATGCTCTGAGGTAATAATGATAGATAATAAGTATTAAGGGCATAATTAATAAGCATTAAATTCATGGGTCTCAGCACTATTCTCAATAATTTTCATTCCTGTATGTGTAATAACTTGATGGTAGCGTTACTTATGACCCCCTTTAAAAGAGAGGCCAGAGAAGCTAAGTAACTCAGCCAAGGTTACACCACTAGTAAGTGTTGACTAGTAAGTGGAGTCAGGATCTGAACCCCCGGCAGACTGTCTCCAAAGCCAGTATTCTTATTTTCAATACCAAATGACCTCTTTACTGTTTTAACAGAAAACTGTAATGATCCATTTTTAACTGCAGTAGATTCCTTCTGAAGTTAACATTGAAAGCCCATTGCAGTGCATTATCCTGGCCTTCTTACTGTTAAAAGGTTCTTTGGTGCTTATTTGAAACAGATGCAAACGCTTAAAACATCCATTCACATTGCGTTTTCCTGTGATTTGCTGGAATATGTCAGGTTGCCTCCAGGAGACTCATGTCTGATTTCATTCATTCGCCTTTAAAAACCTGCAAATTCATGGGTATGTGAAAGCGTGGTTGGTCAGAGGTTCATTAGTATCTCTTGCTAACATCTTGTCTCTGTCTATTGTAGAAAGCTTTAAGGCAATTATGAGAAGAAACTGGGTGGGTTTTTCAAAGCACAATTTCTCTAACCAAATCTGTTGGCAAGATATGATGACGGGCTAATGGTCGTGCAGTTTATTTTCACATACTTTTGACTCCAGGAATTATTCATTGTGAGTTACTTAAAAGCCTTTGCCTTTAAAATGGGTTACTTTCCTTTAAATTACTGTTCTGCATTAAATTTAAGCTTAAGTGCACCTTTCTTTTTCACAAATCTTAACTCTTTATTGGTTCCTAGAATCCTCTGATTGTTTAAGTGTTGTCTCTTATAATTTATGCAAAGTGACACCCCCAAAAATGTCACTATGAGTACACAGCATGGGTAGTTTTCTGTCTCATGCCCCCCCCCCAGGTTAGATTAATGACAGTACCATTATAATGTGCCCCATTAGTAACAAGAATGACTTAGTATAGGTGTTTGGATAAACCATTTTTTCTTATTTACAAATAAAACACCTTGGGTTTTAGAGCGTTAAAAAAAAAGAAAATATACTGTGTCCCAATCAAAACATATATCATGTCTTTTTGATGTTTCTTAGTGGCCTTCAGAATCTTGCTTTATGTGAAGGTTACCTCTGTATTTATCACTTAGAACCATATGGGGGAAATATTTGGTGAAACAAAGATCGTATGTTTGAATTACACTTAGATTAACTGAAGTTACGCTTTGAGTCAGTTTTGCTATGAATAAGGAGCATCCACTTTCACAATGAAATCTCAGGATTCAATTCCATCCCAGAATTCCACAACAGCAGAGGAATGTAGAGCAGACTTCCTTTGAATGAAATGCTTCTGATGCCTATGTCTCTTAAATGGTGATTGTACCCTAATATTTTACTATAACGCTTGTATATGTTTTATCATTATACGCTTGCTTGAAATTTCCTCTTCAGATCCTCCTCCATGGCTGAGCATACTCCTCCCTGCCCTTACCACTTGTGACCTGATTTGGATGGCAAATCGGCCTCTCAATCCTTTTTTTTTTTTTTCCCTTTCTGAACCACACATTATAATATTGTATTTTATTTGAATGCTCTTGAAAGAGTGTGAGGTGATGCTGCTTTTGCAGAGATTCATGTTCAGTGTTCAATATAAAGGATGTCATAAAGGTTATGAAGTTCTGGTGACCGTTTAATTTTGGTTTTGTCACGATGAGTCTCTGAAGATTTGTTTCTGTTGTTGGTCTGTTTTATTGTTGTGGGATGGAGTGCATTTCATTTTTAAGGATGCTTATGACCTTGTTAAATAGCAGTCCAAAAATTGTGTGGCTTGTTTTGATTTTAACCAAGTTACAGCTGCCTAGCTGTAAAGCAGTCAGTTTCTCTTATTATGACTAGTTCTTCAACTTGTACTGTTTTAAATTGCCTGCAATTAGCATATTTCAACCTTATTTTTAGGTTTAAATTGCAGTGTGAGAGTGTACTCTCCTCTTAGCTAATTAGTGCTATCAAGGAACAGTAGGTTACCTCATTAGTACCATGTGCATTTAATTAAAGAAGAGAAAATTGGAGTTAACCTCATAGTTAATATTTTCACAGAGTGCTACAATGCCAACACCTTCAATTGGAGTCACACCCCTGTGTATCTAATTATGCACTAGTGCCAAATAAGGTTAGCAAGGGTACTACAAGGCTGTTGACAAAATAATTTAGATGAAAACGTTTTTGTTGAATTCTGACAGTATAAAATAATTTGAACATTTTTCTCCCAGTCTTCATCTGCCAGCATGGAGTGACATAGTTCTTCGTAAGAAATGTAAGAGAAAGAATATTTTGGAAGCCATTTTTCCTGTCTGAATTAATCTTGCTCTTATCATGAAGAAAACAGCATTTGGTCATGTAAAGCATATATGATCTGCTTCTTAAACAGAGCCCCTGAAATTCAGAGATGTATTTGAAAAGAATTATTTATAAGATGTAATATTTACATGCATCAAACCACTACAAATACTCCCTGACACCCTCACCATGTCCCTCCTTGCTTTTCTTCTTTCCTGGTGTAGTTATAATTTCCCCTGTGTATCTTATAAATGGGGATCATCCTTTCATATCATACATGAAGTCTAAGAATGTGTTGTCACATGGTCTGTTCAAATGCAGTGTAATCCTTTTGCCCTTCAGACAAAATCTTTGAAATGTCTAATGCTACTTAAGTAAAAAATGACATTCTATGTCATTTATCAATAAATAATCACTTTGCTTTTACAGATAAAATGCAAACTGTACATTAGAGTATAGAGTAGTTCTCAATGCAAATGGAAAAATTCAACAGGTTTTAACAATATGGACTGTAATTCCATAGATTTACACTATTCAATGATGATATTTGTGATACAGTTACACAGAGCCAGATAGATTAAAGAGATTATTATGATGATTGTTCTTAGATTGTACCACAACTCAGAATTTATGCTCATTGTTATTGGTTATTGGTCACTACAAGTAAGCAGTTTGCTTTTACAAAGTTAAATAAAATAATTAAATTATAAGGACAAAGAACACCCCTTGCTCTAAAATCTCAGTGCCTTTGAAATCTATAGAAGTATTTATAAACATTGGTCATAATTCCAGTTTAGCATTGGGAACTAAGGTTCCCAAGGCAGGATCATGACAGATAATCAGTGAACATTTTTGGTCCTTGGTTCATTTATTATGATTGAAATATGCAACATGTATGTGCTAGATAATTCCTATTTTTAAAATCTATACTAGTATGAACTGTGAGAGACATATAGAATAGTTTTCCCTGTGTTGACATACTGAGATAATAATAATCTCCAAAACATAAATCTTAAAAATAATAATATACATTATTAGCATAAGTCTTAGGACTGAAAAAAATCCAACTCCTGATTCTTTTTGTTTAATCTAGGAATTGCTTCCAGAAACAAAATTATGTGTCTGTGGCCACTCTTCTGGTGATGGGCTTCCTCACAACTCATTTGCAGTAAGTTCCGCTGGACAATTAGCCCTGCAGCTGCTGAGCGCGAGGCCATGGGCCCATTCCTATTCATTAGATTAGCTGTGCTTCCTTAGCACAAGTAATCAAGGGATGACTGGTGTTAAGATACAGCTAGAATTGGTTGGTTTTCCATTATTGCTTGTGTTCTGACTTCTCTTACGTTTCATCAGATAAATAGTTCAGTTTCTGTGAGGTAATGAAACAAAAGTTCACCTTAATAATGTGAGTCTGTAGCACCAGTATGATTTTCTTGAACTTTTAGGAATAATTTGATGAGAGAGTGTTGATATGTAGAAAATATATTGACATAGTTTATGGATTAGTCCCATACACATTTTAGAAATATATGCTGTTCCCTCTCTGTGAGCTGCCCAAAAATATCCCAAGGCCTAAAGTACAGTGTGTTAATGTGTGTGTGTGTGTGTGTGTGTGTGTGTGTGTATGTGTGTGTGTGTGTGTGTTTCCTGCTACTAGAGTGTAACTTATCTCTTTAGTCTATAATATAAAATTAAAATTAAATTTCTGACGTAGTTCACATAGCAGTTAGCCTTGAAACTGAATAATAATTCTAAAGTTCCACTCAAGAATTTTGAAATAGAACAACTTCATGTTTCTGCTTAACTTGGATTCTACTTACGTTGTTAAGAAATAGTGAATATGTAAAACAATGTATTTTAATAGAATTTTAATTGCTTCTTTATGAATTGATTGTAATTTAATCTCAGTAGGACAGAGTATTCCTAATTTGACTCACTCAAGTTTTTTTTAGCTAACCCACACATAGTGTTTCCTAACTATAGTCGATAAAACACAACATAGTTAAGATTTTTACAGTCAAATACAGTAATCAGTTTTCTTCCTCAATTAGGAAGAATTATATATGATTCCACCCCATAGTTTAAGAAAATAGTATTTTTAGTACAAATAGAGTCAAATTGATATGCAGTGCTGTTATTTGTAAAAAATATGCAATGCTTTAAAAAATGTTGGCTGTTGTGTAAAAGTCAACTCAGAAGTAGGTATGGGAATAGCACACTATAGTGTGGAAATGCTAAATAGAGAACATTGTAGTAAGTGTTGTTGGTGGAGGGTTTGTGATTCTGTGACATGATCTGATTTGAGGTCTTACTCATTTTAATCCTGAATTATCTGGCCTTCTTAATTTTCATTGTAGTAATATTGAAAATATTATTAAAAAGTGGTGATTTCAATGAATTGATGGAACTAAATTTATTTGAAAAGCTAAAATAATTTCTTAGTGGTCTCTATGTAGTTTAAAAGAAGATAAATTTACTGTAAACTTCAAACATAATTATACACTTCAATTTAATAAAGGAGGTAAACCCAAAAATATACTTTAAAAATTAGCACATTAAAAGTGGGTCAGCATTCTTAATTTGTAACCCTGTCCCCGAAAAAAATTTCAGCGGAAAAATTGTTTTGACTAGAATGAATTGTGAGCTGATGTAACTACTAATACTATTTGTTATTTATCTAAAATTATGTCTACCTTTTTTTATTTCCATCCTAAAATAGTGAAAAGAAACATTTATATTTTCACTGACATGTTTTCAGAATGGAGGCGAGACAGGGATAAAGTATGTAGCTGACCCAAGGCCATAATATTCATCAAGCCAATGACTGAATTACCACCCTAGTTTGCAATGACCAGTGTTACTGATCCTACCAAAGCTGTGCCAAATTATTCATGGCTGCCCCAAACCCTGTATTGACCAGGAGCCTGATGTTGCATGTGTCTGAGACATCTGGTCTCTCAGGTAAGAGAATGCTTGCTGAGTTAGTGAGGGCTGTTTGGCCAGGGAGGAGGAGAACCTGGGAGTGCGTAGCCAGGTGCTCTCTCTCTCTCTCTCTCTGTTCTGCAGGTTTCCAAATTCACTGCTTCCCCTGAGTAACTGAGCATCTTTGCAGAATGCGGTGTCTTGGCTTTACAAGTCACGAGAAGTATACTTAAATATTATTAAGTATGTTTTGATTTTCCTTTGTTTATTACATGGGATATAAACTTTCTACGAGCTGAAATGGCTATAAAATGTGATTTAAAATTGAGAAGCTTAATTAAAACAAGCACCATCTATTATTAATAGTTGACAATTTCTATGTGAAGGGCAGGGATGACTTTTAATATTATTCATTAAATTTTAAAAGTATCAGTATCCTTAAGTAGTAATCTGCTGAGTACGATTATTGGTAGGCCAAAAAGAGGAAAGGTGTAAAAATAAAGTTGAGGTACCTGAAGGCAATTATATTCCTTTATCAATAGTGTGACTAACATTAATACAAAACTCTGAACTGTTGGAATAGTTCATGAATTTGTCTGGGGTCCTACATAATGCCTATCAGTGAGTTAATTTAATATCACACATATTATTTCATGGCTTGTGAACATTCTCAAATAAAATGCCACACTTCTTCAGATATGTGTTTCAAAATGTCAGATAGAATGAATTTTACCCTCTCCCCTACCCATACTTGCTTAAAATATAATCCTTTAGGTTTATTAATAAGCTTGGAGTAAAATATCATAAGTTGCAAGCAGAAAAAGACACAAGCACCACATGTAGATGGAACTGCAAATTACTTTAAATAAATAGTACTGCATATGTCATAAAAATAGATGTCAAAAGTTCTCCATCATATTATCTTCTTTCATGTATTAACAGTATCAAGTTACGAACACAATCGTGTAATACAAATACAGTGCGCTTTGCAGAGGTTTGTCTTCTGTTTGGGGTTCATTACAAACCATCAGTCACTAGCTGTTCTCTGAGTACTGTATGTCTAATACCACTTTGTTGAATAGTAGGGATACTTTATATGTCGAGTAAGTTGTACTTACTGTATCTCTGTGAATTCATTAAAGTACTTGCCAGTAATCATATAAACCTGTATTGTTGTCTTTATGGGAAAACTGTAATTTTAAATTCTATCCATGTTTTGTTCTTAACGAAATATTTGGAATCCATAAAACAAACTTTAATGTCCTAAGCTTAATAATATAATATCCTTATTATAACTTTGATTTCTCCAGAAAAGGCATTAATTTCTAATTTTAAATGACAAGAATAGGAGAATAAAGGAGCTTCATTTGAAAGATTACTTTGCAGTACTTTTGCTATTAGTGTGTGCTTACAGGATAGAATACTTTGGTTCAAGTTGGAGAATCAATGCATCTTTGTCTTTTTGGTTCCCTTTCCTTCCCTACCTTTCTTCTTTCTCCCTCTGATCTCTTTCCAAATCTTCAGAAATGTTTGCCTTTTTGTTTCCTATCTTCCCTCCCTTTTTTAACCTTTCAATTTATTTATATATTGTCTCCCTTATAAGAGAAAAAATGCCATATTTAACTTTCCATGTTACAGTTATTTCACTCACAATTGTGTCAGTTTTCTTACACACACATGATTTCATCCTTTTCAAAAAAAGCTTGATTTTCATAATCCTTTCCATTGGCATCTGTTTTAACTGTAATCTGTAAAGAAAAAAGTGTCATCCACTTACTTTACTTTTCTTTCAACTTTTATTCAATGATAGATTCTTTTCATTGGATTTAGCTCAGCGGCATAAGCACCTGCCTTGCAAGCAGGCCGTTGTGGGTTTGATCCCCGGTACCTGTAAAAAAAAAAAAAAAAAAAAAAAAAAAACAAAAACAAAAAAAAACGATAAAAAGCCTGCAGGTGGGTTACTGTCCGTGGTAAATTTTACTCTTTGGCTTCCTACCCCTGGATAGTAACCTGGTCCTCTGCTCTATAAGGAAACCCTGTTGACACCTCATCTGCCCAAATGACCTCGTTAGCACCTGCCTGTAACTACCTCTTGTTACTTTAACCTACAAGTTTTTACACCTAAATGAATACTAGTTTACATGTTAGCTCTAACTGCTAAGACAATGATGAACAATGCTTAAGGTCTTTTTGTCTTCTGGGTCTTGTTTTTAAAGCCTTTAGAGTTGAGCCAAACAAATCTTTCGATGAACAAAATGTTTTGCACCTGTAAAGCAAAAATGAAATTTGGCTAGCCTTCATCTAGTTGGTTTATACCTTGCTTATATTAAGTTCATGACCACATTAGATCTTTCACCCTCTAGTTCTTTTTACTCTGTTATATCTCCTGAATGTTTCACTTTGATGAGGATTCAGATGAGTTCGTTCTGTCTCACTCACTGGTTCTCTCTCTCTCTCTCTCTCTCTCTCTCTCTCTCTCTCTCTCTCTCTGTCTGTCTCTCTCTCTCTCTCTCCACCTTTCTATTTAAACTTAACATAAATTCTACCTAGCCTCAAATAATACATTTCATGGACCATGAAGTTAATGGATGGAGCATTGGATAAAATTCTTGACTGTTTTAATCCTTATTTTCTCAGTCTGTATAATTGAAACATTAGTAGTACTCACCTCTTAGACTGGCATTGAAGACTAAATCTGATAAACCTGGAAAGTTCTTAGCCTGATCACTAACACATAATAAGTGTTCAGTAGATGTAGAGGCTGTAGAACAATCAATGTTTTGTAGCATGGAAAAGAGACAATATTTTTGAAATAAATTAAAATATGTATTTAATATTAACACCAAAAGGATCAATGGCCATTATTCTGTCACAGCTAAAACAGAGGGTGTTATCACCCCTGAGAAGCAATTCTTTATATTTATTAACTTAAACAGTAACATAGAAAAATCATTATTATCCAAATGTTTTGAAATTTTTCAAATGAAAGATAGCTAAATAGAACAGAATAAAACCTGCTTGGCCAGATCTAAATGTTTTCTTGACACACCCAAGAAATCGTACCAATTTTTATGGCAGCATAGTTCGTCATTGCAGGAAGCAGCCTGCCAATCAACTGATAAAAAATGTGGTATTATATATATATATATATATATATATATATATATATATATAAAATGATATTCATATGCTATATGTTAAATGAAATACTATTCAACCATAAAGAAGGAGAAATTTGAGACATTT